TTAGGCCGGCATTGCCTCTCTCAGGTTCCTCTCTGGTGATACGCAATATTAGTTACTGTACTAGGGCTCTATTCTTGAAAAGCAACGTATACGAAAGTCTAGGGAAATACTATAGTATACTGTAACATTTCCCTAGCTTTCGTATACGTTTCTTTTCAAGAATAGAGCCCCTGGTACGTTCTTTTATATCTTGCACTAGTACAATTTTCTATCAGTGCAGTCCGATTTAGTGCTAGTTCAGTGCAGCACTAGTGCAGAGACAAAAAACAAACCTATAGAGTGAGTAGGAGCTATGGTAGGAGTATATTGGAAGGGAGGATCCCGTTTGTCTACAGTTCTGATTGTACACACCACTCATATCAACTGGTGCCTAGTAATTTTTCACTGTTTTGCCAATGAGATTATTTTATTTTTAAATTGGCCAATCAGTGATACATGTGTGCAATATGCGATGTGTGCAATCGGAGCCCTCCCCGATATGTACAAATATAAAGAGTTCTTTATTTTAAATTATTTTACAATTTTATTTGTGATTGCGTCATGCGTGTGATCTAATTCTAATTATAACTGTATTATTTTGTATGATGTACAAATATATGAAAGAAATATTTATTAAATAAAAGCATTTTCTAAATTTTTTCACTGGTGTATTAACAAGCCCTTCAAATGTTTGTTTATAAATTTTTGCTTGTAAAATTAAAATTCTAAATAATTACCAAAAAAAGATCTTATTTTCTACATTTAGTCGATTTCTGGTAGATTCTATTGAAGTTTCTGATAGGAGCAGACTCACTAGAGTTGGCAACACTGACAGCTGTACGAATTAATAGTAAGAGAATTTTTTAACTTTTTTTCGATTTTCTCATGAAATCCAATACAGCTTAGGTCCTGTTTGTGCGTATTTTAATTTATGTAATAATACGTTACTTTTGCAATCCGTAAATCCAATTCGGAGATTTTTCACCGAGTGGAAATGTAGGTAAAACAGGAGGCTTTAGCATCGCCTTAAGGGGATGCTGGAGGGACCCAATTATCGACATTGCAGTTTGATCAAAATCTTCGAATTAACTAAATGGAATAAAAAATCCTTTTACAGGATTAAAGTAAACGCAAAATCCTAACGTGGTGCAGTGGATTTTATATTTAAAAAAAAAGTTAAAAAAATTTTTTACTTTTTTTTCAATTTTAGTATAATATCCACTGTACTACACACATCAGGATTTTGTATTTACTTTAATCCTGTAAAAGAATTTTTTATTCCATTTATGCCCGTTTCCACCAACGTAGATTAACTTTAATCTCGGTTCAACTTACTCTTCGTCTTTTTCTAGTTAAAAATATTAAAAAAAGACAAAGAGTAAGTTGAACCAAGATTAAAGTTAATCTACATTGTTGGAAATGGGCATTAGTCAATTCGGAGATTTTGATCAAACTGCAATGTCGATAATTGGGTCCCTTCAGCATCCCCTTAAGGGGATCCTAAAGACGTCTGTATTACCGACTAAACACGTATAATTTTTGTATAACGAATACTCTTTTTCTCTTTCACGGATTCGAAAATCCTTTTCCAGGATTGAAGTATGCGCATTAATACGTGTTTGTGAAGTGGAATCTGCGCTGAGAATGATCAAAAATTTTGAAATCGATATATTTTTTATCATTTCTTAGCGTCTCAGCTGTCAAGTCGTGACAACATTTACTTGATATGAAAGCTTTGCAATCCGAACGTACGAAATAATAGTTCCCAAACAAGTAATTTGTACGAAAATTGACACGTATGTGTGACTGTGTGTATCATAGGCTGCGTGAGATATTGCTGAGGTAGTATAAAAAGTCGATATGCCGCGCGCGGTGCGACATCTAGCGAATTCGTCGGAGTTCGAGTTTTGCTTTAGGATCCCTTTACCCCGGATCTACAATAGGGTTTTAAGCCTTAGGCCGTAAGAAATTGACCAATTACAGTCAAATCCGAGAAGAATAAGCGACTGTGATTCGCCCATTTCTTATGGCTTAAGGATTAAAACCCTATTGTAAATCCGGACTTAATGAAACATAAATATTTCATTAAACTTGTTTACTTGTGTAATTTTAACCTTGTTTCAAGATACACAATCAAATCTTTAAATCTTTTAAATAATTTTATAAAAGAAAGGTGTTAAGGGGATGCTGGAGTCTTCTTTTTTTACCGATAAAGCAAACGTTTATGTTCCTTGCGCGGTTCTTCGAATTAGTTGCACAGAATAAAAATTCCTTCTCCACGATTGAAATATCCGTGCTAATGTACCTGCTTCTGGTGTATTTTGTGTCCAAAGCTGGGAAAAATAATAAATTACAGATTCCTGTATCCATGTGCTATCAGCTCACCAATATTTACTTCATGAAAAAATTATATGTACGTTATATGCTCGAAATTAGGGTAGGAGCACATGTAGAATAAATAGACGAATACAGTCGTATCTTTAGAATTAAGTTTTGACGCCTAAATAAAAAGATTAGTGCAAGGAACAAAATTGTGTGTCTAGCGCGTGAGAAATCGACGATTTACGATAATTTAGACTATTTAGCCATGAAACCGAGCAGTATTTTAGTTGATCTCTTTCTAAGAGATGGCGTTGCAATATGTTAGATAAAGACAGATGAGTGCGTTTGAACGAAACACAACGATATATACTAATAGCGTATTCGATTTACTGACTCGACCCGACTCCGAGTCAATAGTCTGTTTTGTTTAGCTGCAAAAGAAGAGCTAAGTTACGTGTAAGAAATGCAGCTAAAAAGAACAGACTGTTGACTCGGAGTCGGGTCGAGTCAGTAATCGAATACGCTGTAAGTATAAAGGTAAATTTTCACGAGCTGCTCTAATCGGCTATTTTAGCGACAAAAAGGATCACGTGATCAAAATGGACATTTGATATTCGTCAATTTTGACCACGTGATTCTTTTTGTTGCTGAAACAGCCGGTTTTAGCAGCCCGTGAAAATTTACCTTAAGAAACGAATGAAAGATGTCACTATTGTCGAATTTGGAATTTGAAAAAGTCTGTACTATCGACCTTGATTAACTTCGACCACCGACGAGATACTATTAAAGACCGACATCCTTATGGGAGTTCGCGTCCTTGTAAATATTGAAGTGATTAAGAGTTAAAAACTGATAATATTGTACTAATTTTATGATTTATTAGTTTTGTAGATGTATTTATGCATTTATAACTCAATAATACTCGATTTTTCTTTAAAATTGAGATTTCAGTGTTATCATCAAAGTTTGATTATCAATAAAGATGATAATTGCAGAGAAAAAATTATGATTTTTTTGCAATATCACCGACGAGATATTATTAAAGACCTTCAACCCTGGGCAAATTTTCGGCGGTATAAAATTATTTTTATATTGCAAAAAAATCACAATTTTTTCTCTGCAATTATCATCTTTATTGATAATCAAACTTTGATGATAACACTGATATCTCAATTTTAAAGAAAAATCGAATATTATTGAGTTATAAATGCATAAATACATCTACAAAACTAATAAATCATAAAATTAGTACAATATTATCAGTTTTTAACTCTTAATCACTTCAATATTCACAAGGACGCGAACTCCCGTAAGGATGTCGGTCTTTAATAGTATCTTATTGGTGGCAATATATAGGATATAACAGCTTTACAAGTATGTATATTTATTTATGGGACATTTATGTAATAAAAAATCATGAATTTAATAATGCATGAGCCAAATATTTATGTTAATAATAGCAAATTTATATCAATTGTCGGTAATGTCAGCGTTCTTGAATTACCTCCGGGCCCTTGGGGCCCTTTTTATACCGTCGAAAATTTGCCCAGGGTTGACGGTCTTTAATAATATCTCGTCGATGCTTCGACCACTCCAGCATCCTCTTAAACTAGATAATTCTTCTCGCATCATTTTGATACATAATATAAGAAATTTATTTGGAAAGAAATATAATTAATATAATTAATATTTTTTAAATATATAATTTTAATTATATTGTTGAAATTTAAAAATAATACTAATATAGATATTTAAATATAGGGCGGGAATTTCTGAAATATAGCGGACCAATCAATGCGCGATTTTCTCATATCGTCACTCTTATTAGAAGGTTTCTAGTTGTAAGTATCAGATTGGTCTTTTTTATTAGACCAATGAGAAGCTACCACGATTTAAGCTTTGCAGAATGCAGGCGTACTCAGATGATCGTGTAACGTCTGCTAGAATGGCAGGGTTAAAATTAAATTGGGTATTATTCATAAATTTAACAATATGCGTTGTATTATCTATAGCTGGGTAAGTTAGAACAGTATTTCTATTTATGGCACATTTTGCATGATAGCCTTTTTCGAATAAGTCGCATTAACCTCATCCTTTCCATCTTTTCCACTTGTCAGTTAAACTTGTGCATCTCATATACGAGATTTGTATAATAATCTTGAAATTCAACAAGAAACATGAATAGATGAAAAATTCTCTAATCCCTGTAATTTTTTAGTTCTGAAAATTGATACAGATCTTGTATAATATAGGCTGTTAGTGTTCGATAGGTTTTTCAATTAAGTAATGATAATGTGCAAAAATAAAGTTTATTGTAATTGTTACCTTTCTTTTTGCAGAAGAGATTTTTATAATATATTAGGATTATCACATAGTGCTAGTACACATGCAATTAAGAAGGCTTACAGACGATTAGCAAAAGAATTGCATCCTGATAAGAATAAAGATGATCCAGATGCCTCTCAAAAGTTTCAAGATTTGGGAGCAGCTTATGAAGTGCTGTCAGATCCTGAGAAAAGAGAAATATATGACAAATGTGGAGAGGAATGTTTGAAGAAGGACGGCATGATGAATAGTAATATGGATCCTTTTGCAAGTTTCTTTGGTGACATTAATTTCCATTTTGGTGGTGAATCGCATCAACAACATCAAACTCCTAAAGGTTCAAATGTTGTAATGGATCTGTTTGTTACTTTAGAAGAATTATATAGCGGTAATTTTATTGAGGTAAAATTTTCTCCTGCTATGAATAGCACAGTGTGTAATTTTTTCCTTTACTAAACTTATTTTGTTACTATATTTTAGATTACGAGAAATAAGCCAGTTATAAAAACAGTGAAAGGAACAAGAAAGTGTAATTGTAGGCAGGAATTAGTTACTCGCAATTTAGGAAATGGTAGATTCCAAATGATGCAACAGTCTGTGTGTTCAGAATGTCCAAATGTGAAATTGGTTAATGAGGAACGGATATTAGAAGTAGAAGTTGAACCAGGAATGGTAGATAATCAAGAAACTAAATTTACTGCAGAAGGAGAACCACATATTGATGGAGAACCAGGAGATCTTATAATAAAGTGAGTAAATATTCTGAATGTATATATATTCATACACACACACACACACACGCGCGCGCGCGCGCACGCGCATGCACACGCACACATACATGTGTGTGTATATAATTAATTGAGACAAAGATTATCTTAAGTGGAGGTAAAAATCAAAGTAAATTGGAATTATAGAATAACATTTTTTATATGTATCTTTACATTCAAAAAAAGCAACTTAAAAAATTAATCGGACATGCAAATACTTGATTTAAAATTCCGTTTGACAACTTTTGTTCATTTTTATTTACCAAGATTAATTATATTATTGTATGTATTATTGTATTATTGTACTAATTGTGTTATTGATTTTAAAGGTCAAGTTTTTACCAAATACAATTGAATTTTAGTTGAATATACATATGTTCAGTTGATTTTTGAAATAATTTTTGTTTTAAGAAACTTGAAAGAAGAGTTTAATGTATTATTTTAATTTTTAAATGTAAAATCCCTTCTGAGAGTACTTTTTTCTCGATCTATGTTTTAGCCTATCCTATATAAGGCCACTATTTAATTTATGCATTTTTGTCATATGACAAAATTTTGAAGCCTGTTGATAGGATAGAGAGATCCAAGGACCTCTCTGTTCTGCACATATTTGTCGTACGACAAAAGCGTACAAATGGAATAGCATCCTAAGTTAATACAATTATATATTCACAATACAATTGTCTGTTATAGGATACAAACTATACCTCATCCTGTTTTCGAAAGAAAAGGTGACGATTTATATACAAATGTTACGATATCTTTGCAAGATGCTCTATTAGGTTTCACAGTAGATATAAAACATTTAGATGGTCATATAGTCACTATTCAAAGGGACAAAATTACTAAACATGGTGCCCGAATTCGGAAAAAGGGCGAAGGAATGCCTAATTATGATAATAACAATCTTCATGGCGCTTTATATGTTACATTTGATATTGCATTCCCCGATAATGACTTTACAGACGAACAAAAAGAAGGTAAACCAAAATATTCTGTATTAGTGCGTAAAATTTTATGCATTATATTATTATATATTATTACATATTATTAACTATGACTCTCTTAAGTAACATCTTAAATAAGTTATTAGTCATAAAAAAAATGATTTTATTATATTTCAGATATAAGAAAATTATTGCAACAAAGTTCTGTAAATCGAATATACAACGGTATACATGGCAATTGAATATTTAAGTGCAGTTTATGTACAAAGTGAGTGCAAAGTGAGTGCTTTGGTTGGAATGTATGTCTTGATATAGTATGTTTGTATTAAGAGCGTTATTCTTGCTTCCGTACTAAAGAATACCAAGAAAGTTAGTAATCCAGTGATTGTACTGGATATATAAATTTGAGTACATATATAATTTTTTGCACAAAATCAATAGCAAATATAATTTATTTAGATGCAAAAGACTGGTTAAACTAGTTATTGTTGCCAATTATTTAAATTAATGTTTGATTGTTGCCAATTATTTGCCGATATCAGAAATAATTGAACAATTTATTTTGTAATTTAAGTTATATTGATTAAATTATATGATTAATATAAGAGAGATTGATATGTGTGTGGATAGATTTTGCATTTAATATGAAATAATAAAGACCACATATAAATTAATAAATTATTAATGATTGGCCATGTTTATATTATTATTAATAATGTAAACTCTTAGCAAGTATATTGGCATAAACAAGGTGAAATTTTTTTGCAATTGCAAAGAAATTTAGAACATAAACGTCAGTGAATATATAATGAATATAATACCATGATAAAATTAACAAACATGCATTTGTAGCCAATTTTTTAATTCAAATATATCTATGTATTTTAAGTGGCAATATCTTCTATATGTAATTTATTATAGTATATGTATAATCTATTACAAAATTATTACAAAAAAAGATGTGATTATTTTTCCCCAAACAAATATAAGAAAGTAAACCAGAAATAAATACACAAGCTCTCTATAGAATGTGTTCTAATGTTTTATGAAATGTATTGTCAGAGAGTAGGCTATTTTTTGTTCATTTTTCGATGTAAAGTTTGCAGAAATATGTTAGAAATAATTGCAATGATTAAATGAGTATCACATATGATCTAATAATTAATTTTATTTAGTTGCGATCGTGAAAAAATGGTTTGATGAAATACATCCATAAAAAATAGTAAAATATCTTTATATATATATATATAAGACAGTCTGCATGACAAGTATAGGTCATTTTGATATAAATTAGAGTGGATGAAATATATTTTCTTATCAAGTGCAAAGCTGTTTTATTCGACGTGTTGTCACACGAGCAAACAAGCAAGTGAACGAAGAAAAGAGAAATGTGCGCAATAAGAGATACAAAGCGACCGCTTATACAGTTCTACATCAAGAAAGTAGTCTATCTTGGAAGATAAAATAGCCAATCTTTTCTATATAATCTTAAAGTTCTAAAAATATTGTATAAATTTTCTTATATAATCTTAAATTTCTAAAAATATACTTCTAAAGTTTTAAATTAAAATTTGAAGATTAGTGAAAATACAGATCAACGCGCAGATAAAATTTTATAATTTTATCATTTTTTATAAGTTTTATTATTACGAAATATTCTGCGAGTTCTACTGAAGGTTTCCTAATAATACAAATATATTTTTTGCAAATTAAGTATTAGGAAACAGTTAGGCACATTATTACAAATTTTCTTTGATAATAGAATGAAATATAATGAAAATGTGAAATGTTCTAATCATTTATAGAATCGTTCTTTTATCTAGTTTCTGTTTTTAAAAATAAAAGAAATTTTTATTAAAAATTGCCAAATATGTTGCCAAGTATTAAAAAAATCACTTACAGATATCATATATACAATACATTAAAATTCAATATCTTTTAATTTCAAAATTAATTATTTATTATCTTATAGGAACGGATATTTGAAAAGAGCTCAAGTAAACATTTGCTTCCTCTTTTCTACTTCAAGTATCTCGACTTACCATCTTATTATTATTTCATTATTCGGAATGTAATGTTAGCATTGTTCATAAATTGCTCTAAAATATTTATTTTTAGGATAAAATTTTACTAAAGTCGCAGATTGCTTAGATGATTAAATTTTTTCTTTAACTTTCATCACCATTATTTTAAAAATATGAGTTTTCTCGATGATCCTACAGTTTACTTTTACTCCATATATAAACTAATGAAAATTGAGATACTTAATATTGCTTGAATTTTTAAAAATAATTATGACGGCCGTTATCACTATCGCCAGGAAGACAGGATATTTTTTTTAATGCGTCAACATTGTATAACAAAAATGACTATTTTTATGACTCATAAAAATTCAGTTATATTCTCAAAACATCAATAAATATATACAAATATGTATAAAGCTAGGAATCGCGTGATAGCATTTATAATTATTTCTTGAAAAAATCTGAAAAATCTCGAGCGGAAGATAGACTGCCCCTTAATGCTCGTAAATATCTATTATTGCCTGATTAAATTAATCGAGGAGCTATATGGAGGAATATATATATAATAATATATATAATAAATAAATATTAAGTTATGTAATTATATTCACAATATACGGTAAACACGATATTCTTGAGAATATGAACTTGTGCGATGTCACTCGATGCCACTCATCAAGCCGTTTTATTTGACTGTATGGTTCCGAACGTTTTGGCCACACTTCGAAATATATTTAGGATACTTTTTGTTCAGAATTAAATTTCCTATAAAATCTCGAAGTCTGGCCAAAACGTTCGAGACCACCCTGTATATAAAAATATTGTTCGTTTCATCCGGAATAAGATAGAAATAATAAGATAGAAGCGGCAACATCTTACAAAATTGAATATGGAGTTTGTCAAAACACTTGACAGTTTCTTTCGAACCCATAAATCTAATCGAACCGATCTCCAAGTCTGAGGAGAGGGATCTCTTTCCAGACAAAACACGTGTCTAGAAGACGACAACTTTCAAAGACACTTTGAGGACGTTTTATCTTCTATTAGCCATATATATGAATTTTGCACCTTTAACTTGGTTTTTTAATTTCTATGCAAATTTTTATATTATTTCAAATTGTATAAAAATCTGAAAAAATTTTTGCTTATTTGACACAGTTTTAACAACGAGTTTTTACTATCATAGAAGTCGAATATTTTTTTTATTTTTTACATATTTATAAATTGATCTACCAAATTTCGCAATAAAAAAATCGACTGTATTTTCAAAGTTGGCTTCCAACTTGTCAACGGAGAATTTTATGTATTCGTAAAAGCTTTTAACTATGAATTTTTACTAACATGGAAGTCGGATTTTGCATTTTATTTATTTTTCACAGATTTAAGAGAGTATATCTACTATATAATAAAAAAAATCTATTCCTTCAAAGTCCAACTTGGCTAACGGAAGACTAAACACACATATTGTCTGAATGAGTTGCACCAAGCTCCGATTTAAATTATTAGATATGAAAGGTTCAGTACTCGAGCAGTCTGTTGGATATATGCTAAAGACAATAACAATACAAACGCATGTTGAATTCATCCACACAGGAACTCTGACTGCCATATGCATTCAGCCTACTGACCGACCCAGCCAATTTGCGGCTGTTGTCGTCTGCTTTATAACGTACTGTACCCTCAAAGATCGCATCACCTGGGGTGGTTTGTATGGTCACTGTGTAATCCACCAGCGTTGCTCCTTCCGTCTTATCCTGCCACATTTTCGCATCTTTGATCATTTTTAGGTTCAAGGTTGCGCACATTGGATATCTGCTTATCATGTCATTCAGTTCTCTGACGAGGAACGACACACTATCGTGCAAGCCGGTGTCATTCCACGCGACCGTATTACTGGTATGGCACATGCACCAATGATTTGCAATGTGCGCCATGTCGCAGGTACGAATGTCTGGTACTGGCAGGAACCAACTGATGCCACGTGGGATGCCAGGCGAGGCGGCTTGAATTTTAATGCGCTTCTTAAGAAATGACTCTCGCAAAAGTTGCGGATTCAGCAAATCCATTAACGTTTCATGAAGATCGAAGGGCGTTGTGAGACTGTGGCTGTTCCTTCGCAAATTTCCCCAAGCCAGAGGAAACTTTTCGCGCCACCATCTTGGTAACACGATAAAGACGAAAGGTAGACTATCCTCAATCTTTCCCTGATACGTTTGTCGGAAATCGCCCCATCTCATACCGTGGTCGCTCATCATGATCAAGACTGTGCGATTCAGCAGACCCTCCCGTGATGCATACTCGACGAACTCGTGGTAGGAGTTGTCACCCAATTGAGGATACGTGAAATAGTCGTGGGTGAGACTTGCCTGCCAAATGAAGGCGAAGTAAAGTTCCGAGGAGAACTCAATCGCTGTTTTGCGTGTGTAATCCAGCATGCATTCAAATGTCTTCCTGGTACCGAGGCAGAGATTGGCGTTCAGTTTATGGGTGTTACCAATGTCATTCTCAGCACCGATGCAATATGGTCTCAGATAGTAATCTGTCGGTTGATCACGGAATCCTGGTTTCAGATAATTGAACGTGGTCATGCTACAAGCATCCTCGCCGAATACTGTGCGGTAACCAGCATCACTGAAGTTCTTCCACAAAAGCGGGCATTCGTCGAAAGTTTTGTTAGGCATTTGCCAACACAGATCCCGCAATTCCTCCTGATTCAGACCACTTAATACTGGGACGAGGTTTGGGTACGTGTTATCAGCGACCTTGGTATAGCCCAACATTTCTACGGCATCGAGAGACTGAAGTGATTTTACAGTCTTCGGCATCATTCTGTGAAAATTCATTCTGGAAACCGAGTCGAGTCCGACAATGAGAACGCTGAGACGATCGTCGATCAGCGTATCCATTCTCAGTGTTTGCCTGCATCTTTCTTCTATCGAAGGCTTACGAGGTAGGAAAGCGTAGTAATCTTTGTATACCATTTCGTTGTTTTGATAACATTCAACTTTTATGAATTCAGCATTCACTATGCAAGAATCTTGGAAAGGATAGCACTGTGTGTCATATCTGCAAAATTTTATTATCTAATTTAAAGTTATCTGTATAACAAATCTATCCTACAGATAATATACAAGATATATCAGACCACCTGTATTATTTTTTTTTCTCGGAAATGTGATTGGAAGTTGAAGAAAAAACATTTTCATTATCAAAGCTTATCTGACCTAACTAAATTTTTGGTTTTCCGGAAATATGATAAACTTGGGTCAAATTTGAAATTTGTAATGGGAATATATATAAGTCGAGTAATTATCGTTAAATATATCTTTCAAAAATAAACAACTATTATTTAATAATAATGAAATTAAATTAAAACTAATGAATTATAAACTCCTTTATATATATCTCTCTCTATTAATACAACAATAAAAAAATTTTATACAAAAGCCTAATAGGAGTTAACCTCTTGTTAAAAATTGCGAGATATACATTTGTTTAAACTCTTGTTTTTATTTGTTTAAACTTTTGTCTTTTTTTAATATCTTTTTTTTATGTTACGGTTTACGAAAAAAAATTTTTTTAATCATAGATTATATGAGTCATTATTGTCTAGATGTTAAAAGTTATCGAGGATTTATTAAATTAAAATCTTTAAGATCAAACCATATGAGCAACAAAATTTAAACAGTTTTTTCTCCATTTTTATTTTAATTGAGAAAACGCATTAATAAGAAATTATGTCATTTTTTGTTAATAGTAAAAGATATTAAAATCTTTTTTATTTAGAAGTATTTTTTTTCAATGGGCTTATTCAATGATGTTCTACCTTACCTATATTTTAATTAAAAATTTAAGAATTTGCTACATTTTTCCCATTTCGTATTTCATTCCTAAAAGCACAAATACTACCATTCGATTTATCACATAGCGTTTGATGTTAAAAATGTTAATTTAAATTTCCGATAATTTTAATGTTTTGATAAATGGATGATTCTGTGACATTTCTTTATTTTTGTTGTAAATCATAATATAAAAAAAATTTAATCAAAAGTTGTTTATCTTTAAAAAACCTATCCAATGATATTCTACTCGATTTATATTCCTATTAAAAATTTTAGATTTAATCTAGATTATTTTATTTTTAAAATAATGAAAATTTTTTCTTCAATTTCTTCCAGTATTCATTTCCGAGAGAAAAGAGAAGTACGGGTTGTCTGATACACTTTTAATATACATATAATTTATGTACACATGTGTACATAACATATAGGGTTGGGTACTAACTAATCAACAAATTAAAAAGTTAAATAAAAAGTTAAAAAGTTAATAACTTTTAACTTATAGTATATAATTTAGTTAATTTTAAATAAATTAATTTTTAATTTAATTTATTTTAAACTTTATTACCAATTTAATATAGTTACCTTAATTTAATTACCTTCAATTTTAATTTATTAAGTTTTTCTTTTTAAGTTTTAGTTTTTTTTAATTTCTGAAAGCCAATATTATTTTCTATAAAATTTTCTATAAAAACATTAGAGAATTAATTTAGAAAAAGTTGAATAATTGTGATGCTCGTAGTGCCCAAAAATGAATGTGGTTTGGATACATTGTATTTAAGAAATGTTCAATGCAATTGCGTTATGTTGTCCTTGCTTTACATTTGAATGATAAAGAAAGAATAAATTTTTTATTTACATATAGTTTTTAAAGAATGTGTAGGCATGGCCAGCACAAAAAAAAGTACAAGGTTACTTACATTTTTAAAAATTATATTTTATTTTTCTTTTATATAAATATATCCAAATATGAAAATATTTATGTAGAAATATAAAAAATCAGTTTTTTATTGTACAAGAGATATTTTTGTTGTTTTACATAATTTATAACTATTAAAATGTTAAATTTATGATGATCGTTTATTGTAATTGTTTTGTTATTTACATAAAGTAATCTGATTTAAATAAAAATTAGGATATTGTAATTTAATAAAAATAATATTGGTAAACATCAGGGGACCCTTCCCAATGACCTTGACCTTGACACTCACCCCCCCCTCCCCCTGC